ATGTATCCGTATGCTTTTAAACCCCTAAATGCATTATGACAAAGACTGGTTCATCCCAAAGTTCCAGTCCCCTGACACAAACAGAGTAATATTGTGTATGCTGTTCAGTGTCAGGAGGGTGATCAGTCTTACATCGGGGAAACTAAACAGCCACTGGCCAAAAGGATGGACCAGCACAGAAGATCAACATCATCAGGCCAGGACTCTGCGGTCTACACTCATCTCCAGGCCAGCGGTCACTCTTTCAGGGATGAAGATGTTCACATCCTGGACAGAGAGGAACGATGGTTTGAGAGAGGAGTAAAGGAGGCCATCTTTGTGAAAAGAAATCGTCCATCATTAAACGGGGTGGAGGCCTCAGTGTTCAACTGTCCCCCTCTTACAATGCTGTGATTTTCATTCAAACTTTATTTATACAGTTTAATCCCATTGAGTCTTGGGGACTCATTTACAAGAGAGACCTGAATTTTAACAGTGATGACAACAGTGGATAACAATGACAACAATAGACAATCATAACGGATCCATACAAATTAAAATATTTATTTATTTTTTGACAATGCTGTTATTGCTATTATCAGTCAGCCCTCTGTGAATAGCAAGCCGACATCAGAGCACCAACGATCAGTTGTTAGGCTGATGGTCCTCCTCTAGCATGTAAACAGCTAGTTCTGGATGTCACCAGTAAACTGGTTGGATGTTCAAGGGAATGTTTTTCAATAAAATAACATTGGAAGATTGAAGGTGCATTGTGACCTTATAACACCTGACAGCGTCACTTATAAAACAAAATCAGTATCGGTCAAAATTGGAAATGGCAGGTCAGACTTTTTAAAAATCTGTGATCGTCCAGAAAACTGCAATCGGTGCACCCCTACTTGTTAGACTGGGATAGAGGTTCACCTTCCAGCAGGACAAAGATCACAGCTGAAGCAACACTCCAGGGGTTTAGGGAGAACAAGCTAAATGATCCAGTCAAATCCAGACTTGATTCCAACTGAGAATCTCAGTTTGTTAAACACAAGTGGCCCTGTCCAGTTTGAAGGACCTGGAGCAGTTTGGTCACAAAGAATGGACAAAAATTTCTGAGGTTACACATGAAGATTATGAAGATGAACCTGAAGAGACTTCTGATGCTGCAACTTCCACAAAAGGTGACTACAAAGCAGTACCAGTATTAATTCTTCAGGCTTTTCATCTCATCTCTTACTTATGTCGCAATAAAATACAGAGTAGTTCCATCTGCCCATTATCTTAACCCGCTTCTTCCTTTTCAGGTCAAGGGGGATCACTGGAGTCCATATCCAGCAGGTCGTTATGTGAGAGGCGGGGGACACCCTGAACAGGTTTCCAGTCCATCACAGGGACACATGGAGACAAACGAGACAAACAACATTCTCTCCCTCACTCTCATCTAGGTACAATTTAGAGTTACCAATCAGACTAACATGCAGGTTTTTGGTCTGTGGGAGAAAACTAGAGTACCTGGAGAAAACCCACACATACACGGAGAGAACATGCAAACTCCACCCAGAAAGGTCCCCAGCCGGGATTTGATCTGGCAACCTTCCCGCTGAGAGGCAACAGTTCTACCAAGTGTGCCACTTACAGAGTGCTTATATTGCAAAAATTAAAAGAAACAACCTCACAAAGACTCTTTAAATCCAGGACGTAAGGCAGTAAAACAGAGGGGGGTGAAGACTTTTGCAGACCACTGTATTTGCCAATAAAGTCTAAAGATAGAACAGTTTCAGAACAAAAACCAGTGTGACAGTAGCTGTTCAGAAGAGTGAAAATAGGACCAATACAATACAACTTTGTTTCAGAACATAGTGAAAACAGTGGTATGATAACTGCAGGACTGAACGTCTCAAACAGAACAGCAGGACGAACGGAAACCCGACAAACACAGAGCAACAAAAAAGTTTGGAAGTATACTACAACCCTTCAGTTTCATTTCCCCACACTGACTGCAGCTGCTGACAGAGTTGAAGAGGCCCAAAGTGTTAAAAACTAGAACAGAGACTGTTTCTCATCAGAGCTGAGGCAGCTGCAACACAAGGCAGGACTGGAGCCACACCCCACACATTCCTTTTCATCCTCCTCGACTCTACTCTACACTTCCCATCCTTTTCTTTCAGTCACAGCCCGCTGAGGTAGCATCATCCTCCGAGTCAAACATCAGCGACAACAGAAAAACACATCAGAAGATTCAAGGAGAGGACAGCTGAGTTTACTCTATCACATCTACAGCAGTCATTTTTGTTTTTCTGCTTCAGTTGCCTTTTCAGTTTGGACACGAGTTATATCCACCTTATTCCTAGCCCCCATGGTGCCTTGCATGAATTATGGGCACGACTTCCGCTGCAGACCAGAACTGGTGTTTGTTTATGTGCTAATAGTACGAGCTAATGTAGTTTCTCTGAGCATTGTGAATTTAATTTAAACATGTAGGAACATCACCTGTCAGAGCTCAGACAGGACAATATAATCATATCACTGCCTGCTGAGGACGAGAGATGGAGGACAACCTGAAGAAGTGGCTGCAGATTACATCTACTAGCATATTTAGCTACATCTACTAGCATATTTAGCTACTTAAACTAGCATATTTAGCTACATCTACTAGCATATTTAGCTACATCTACTAGCATATTTAGCTAC